AGGTATTTTCAACATTGTCTGATCAGCCTTCAGCAAAATATGTGGCTTTTTACCCTCTGGTTACCCCTCAAAGACGCAAAGGATTATGGGGATGCGAAAGTCGAGAATAATAGCTATACCCCCAGACATACAAATGTCTGTAAATTTGTCACTTTTCAACTAACTAAAGTTTTCTCGGCCGATATAAGACCTGACATARTGAATCTTTGTAGGGTTGCTAAAGTAAAGGTGTTGTTATACCGGTTTAAAGGATAAAGCTTACTCTCACAAATGAATTTTCTTCCCAGGTGGTATAAGTATAGAAAATACCACCGTTTYAAAAGAATTAATGAAAATTTCTCGCGCATTACCACTACTAGTGCTTACCCGGAAAATTACAACATTTTTCAAAGGCATCTTATGYTTTTTGGATGCTTGGCTTTAAATAAACAAAATAATGACAAAGTGATGCCTAAAAATGCTTCATTGGAATCGGCAATTTTTGAACTACCAAAGTTTTTACTGAACCAAATTCAAAGATGCTAAAATCAATTTTTAAAAAATTGAAAAAAAATCGATTCCACTGTGCCATACCCCCGAGACATCCGTAGAGCTGAGGCGGCGTATGGACTTCGGACCTGACGGCGATTAAATCCTTCTGCCCTTGGGTTGTACGAATTACGCAAGAAAATGTTCTAGCCGAAGCATCAGGGGAGAGACCAGCCGGCCCCCAGACCATATCGGCTAATCCCTTGCATCTCTGCCACGCACGGAATCAGTTGAAAAATTGATGTTAAAAAATATCGTCTATTCGGTGCATTGTTTTCACCGCTATTGTTATGCTGATTCACCTGAAACCGTGGTCTAATGGAAAAAACGTTGGTTTCCATATTAAGTCAAACCCGGCTGAGCAAAGTTAGAAGCTGGATGGGTGACCTAAAAACTATGCCTACTAAAAAGCAAGTGTAAGTTTTTTTTAACTTTTAAAAGCTTAATACCCGTTTAAGTTTACGACAACTGCTAGCTTGTGTTCAGCGAAAGGCTCTTATAAGAAAGTGCGCGCTTACTTAGCGAAAGCCTCTTATAAGGACACAACAGGCAGTTTGACAATTTCTTTCGCGAGTTCATTTTCGCTGCAAAACTCAATGTTCTTCACCCCTCGATAGGTGATTGATCACTTCAGCAAGAAATTTTCATCTGGCAAAGGGCTATCTAGTATTTCTCGCATACCCCTGGGGATTGGCCTCAATCCCGTAACATGGTTGGCAAGCGATTATAATCCGCATCAAAATCTGGCTTCATGAGTTTCCTTCCTACATTATTGCACCACTATTAGCAGCTGCTAGCTTGTTCAGCGAAATACTCTCATAAGAGACCGGTATGGTAGCAGAACTGGGATTTTGAGAATTTCTTCCTCGATTTGATTTTCGCTGCAACACCGAATATTTTCATCGTATCTGATAGGTGACTGGTCGTTTTTAGCCAAAAAGATCCGGAAATATATGAATGGATGGATGGATGGATAGATAGATGGGTTAAATGGATAAAATAGATGGATGAGACGGATAAGATGGATTGATCTCTACTTATCAGCTGCATTGACCATATCAATGTCTATTCTAAAATTGAGGTAAACATCTTGTTTTAATATATAGGTACCGTGATAATGATTATTATCTTTGAACTCAAACATACCATGGGCTTCCTGTGGTAGTGATGCACGTGCACCCATCATGCTTCAGGTTCTCGTTGACACGAAGAAGCAAGATGGTGTTTGGAAATGAAGGTTCGATGCGTGCAAAAAACTTCGACCATTACACGGTAAGAAATGCTTCAAAGCTAGGCTAATCTAGAAAAACCTTAAGATAAGATTGAGTTCTTCATCTGTATGAATTCTTTTGAGGCTTTCTAAATAATTTCGCAGTTAAATATGCATTTGCATCATGCTTCAGGGTCTCCGAAAAGAAGAAACAACATGGCGGCTGGAGTGAAGCTTCGAGGTGTGGACAGAAATTTCGACCGTTACACGGTAAGAAATGCTTCAAAGCTAGGCTAGACTAGACAATCCTTAAGATAAGGTTGAGTTCTTCCCCTGTATGATTTCATTTGAGGTTTTCTAGAMTTTTTCGCTGCTTAAATAAGCATTTAATTCTGACATCTTGTTAGGCCTGGGTGTTAGGTTGTTGCACGTGACAGACTATAAGTCTAAAAAATTTGCAAACGTTCTTGTTCTGACCCCAAAAACTACTCTACGACTACTGCATGAATGCTTAAAGATTTTCAAAGTTAGTTTATATRTGATTTTATTTTCTTCTTGTTTTTTTCCTGCAAAAATTTAAATATCAAATTATGTGGTTTTTTTTTTTCCATTCCTCAACAAAAAATAAAACAGTTGAAGCATTCAGTCCATCAAAAACATGATTTTTTTTTGGCAGAAGGGAGTGGTCGACAAATTCTCCTTGGTAGGGGACCCCTTAGTACTTTTTCTTCTTTTTTTTTTAAATCAGGAAGGTAGGCATTGGAATTCTTTTGGTAACCCAGATAAATCTGACTCGATGAAGCATGTATACACATTGTCTGTGCATGTCATAAATTAATGAGAGCAACCACTCTTTAGGCGTACAATGCTTGTAGGCACTTAGATCTAGCTAAACATTTCCAAAATATATTAAACAACAAAGCAAAGCGAGAAAATGAGTTACTGTAGTTTCCACTAATTGGATTCACTTTTCACTTGTGATTTCTAATTCTGGCAGCATATGCATACTTGAAAGTTCTGCTTAACATTTTGAAATATTGACTGAATACATTTTTCATATTCCACATCCTAACAGAAAAGTTCACAAAAAAAAAGTCCAATATCCTGTGCCACRCTGAAACAAACTGTAAAAGAAAAAAACCTTATTTGAAAATTCAAACATTTTTGGAAAAAAACAAAAATCACTATTTTTCACATTATTACTGGGTTGCCTGTGGCAGCCCAGTCATAAAATGCCTTTGGCTTTTTTTGCCTTCTCCCTCTTGCAAAATGTGCATTCTTGTGCAAGAGTACCCATACGTATATGGATTTGAATGAAGTGTTCATAGATTCTGGGCTCATAGATTGGCTTAGCAGCAGAGGATGTAATTCTGGACTTTAGAATTAATATAATTGTGGAGTAAAAGATCAGAAGATTTCTAGGATTGTAATTCAGATATTTATTAGTATTAATAGAGCTACTCAGTCGGCGGTATTCTGGCCTCAATCGCGTAGGTTAGTAGAGCCTAAAGGAAAATACAGCTTTCAGTCTCTAGTCAATAAGGCATATACATAAATATATTGTTAAATACTAAGCGGTAATAGAGCTGGTAACTTTGGCCTATATACTTTTCACTAAGTTTTGAATCATTTTACTAACCGAGTTTCGCAGTTCCACCACACTGGTTTGGATATTTAAAAAAACAAAATTTGAAGAATATAATCAATAACAAAACAAAAAACAAACAAAAAACGCTATATTTAATAGAGACTCTGGCAGAAAACTGCCTGAAAATTATCTGCAACTCATTTGATTTATTGTACTGATAGCTCACACRTTTATGTGAGCGCGCAAAATAAATATTCGTTAACATGTGTAGCACGCGCATATATATTTGTAATCGTGATAGTTTTACCATTGATTCCATCGTACCCTGAGGATGGGCAAGTATGCCAGAAAGCTCGGTTTATATTAAAACTAATTTGGTTGAGGAAACAAACAATTTTACTTATACCATAACTGCTTTTCTAAACAAATTTGTGTCTTATTTGGCCATGTTCAGTTCTGAAATAATTCATTTTGTCAGACAGGACTCTTAGTCACAGGGTCAAATTGTTGTCAGTTTAACTTAAGATGGAGCCTATTAAAACTTACTGAATCAGTAACGCAACACTTTTTTTTCTCTGGCTATAAAACCGCATCTGTATATTTTTATTAATCACGTCTCATTCCACTTCCTGCACTCGCTAAAAGATATACAAAAGCAGAATATTTTTATTGAGAAAAAACATTTAAAAGGGTTACACTTTTGAACAAATTTGATGTGAGAAAAATGAATGTTCAGAAGTTTGGGAAGAAAAATACACCCAAAATGTTCCAAAGTACCCCCTCCTTCCAAATAGCAGTGCATGACAAAGATTAGGAGTTAAATCCGAGCTGCAGCAAACCAGCACATTAGGTAACCCAGTGCATGCCCCAAGATAAGGGTGTAACAATGCATTGGAATATCGATATATCGCAATATTAAAGCCACAATAGTGATGCATCGATKGAAACTTTGTATTATCAATAACTATTGCGATAGTTGACTTTTACTATCAATTGTATCAATTGTCTCACTCTGAAATGATAACAAACATAAAAATTTGTTAGTAGATAATGTGTGGTGCACAAATTACTCATTTGCTGCTTCAGATTACAATTCAACTCTAAGGTTTTRTGTTGAAGTCAAGTTTTGCTCACGTATTGTACCTGAGCACACTGTGATCGCGATCAAATCACGAACAACAATAAAGAAAGGTGCGAAAAATTGCAAGTAGATGGTGAGCAGATCGCGAGCACTCCGTAAGATCAGCTCACRATCTGCTCGCGATCAAATAAACAAGTTTCTGGGCTGTACTGTATTTCAGTTCCTCAAGTCTTAATAATTTTAACTTTATAAATAGAGGATTAGTATGGTCATCCTGAGAATAAAAAGTCATTATTCAAATGACTTTTTTATGTAAAATATAAAGTTTACCTGTGGTTGTAGATGAGTATGAGTTACACATGGAATATCAGCCTCATAGCATTTCCCATGAGCCAAATATTTGAAAGAAAGGCACAGAGTTTATATTTCCTACTCACTGTTGGCTTTCAAGCCTTAATTTTTCATATAATGTTTTTCATTTCACCAAGTAAGATCTATTTTCGTCATAAAACATGCTGAATTTTAGATATTTTCAGTCTAGCTGTGTTATTTATTGTGTTTGTTATCAGATAGCACTAAGGTTCTTTGTAGGACTGTCATTGGTCTTTTTGCATAATGTTGTTGTAACAGTATTCCAAGGTGTCTGGTGTTTTCATTTGCCTCATGATGGATGTTTTGTGGGGAAAACAGCAAGCATTAATGGTAGTTTTTGCTTTATTTAGACTATATTTTTGATTGGAAATCCTTTGGTATTGATTAAAAGTAATGCACTGCATGAAGTCAACAAGGGATTTTGGTTACATTTGTGATGTTATTTCTAGTTGGTTTTTTTTTTGTTGCTAAAAACATGTTTTATAGGATAAGGATCTAGAAAATTTGCACTTCTATGTGATGTTTAATAAACGAGCAGGAGTGTTTTTAGACCCCATAAAACATGATCTGCAAGTTTATTAAACGGCTTAGGAAACTCATGATGTATGTTCTCGTATGGTACCRAATTCTTTACGAAATGAACCAAGTTTGATAGAGAAAATCCAAGTTAAACTTTTTGCAAATGAAGACAAATCTATATCAGATATAAAACCTCCTTCATGGTCATGATTTCTATTGTGTTTCCTTCATGAATTATTAATGTTGTGGAACTGACGACAGAAAACGCCTTTTACAACTCAACAACTTTACTTGAGACGTTGACTTCATTACAAACATGTCAGCACGAAATTCGATTCCTTAAGGGGTTACAATTTATTCCCCACCCGGGGAGGGTACTAATATCCTAGTCTCTTGGGGCTTCGTACCACTCGTCCTCCTTTCGTAACGTATTGGGCTGTAACAATTAATAAAATTTCTAAAGAAGTCTTTAGACTGATCTCGGTGAAATTTTTTTAATCAAAAACTATTTGAATTTTTTTTTTTTCAGCAGAGCATCCTGCAGTACGTTTAATTGTTTTGTCTTGATTTGCTCAGCTCATATTTTGCATGATGTATTTAATTTTCTTACTATATAATCATATAATTTGTTAAACGTTTTTTTTTTTGTTTTTTGTTTTGCCTAGAATAAGTGGTTTAAGTTATAGAATGATTAATTAAAAAGTGGTAATATCAAGTCTAAAATTCAGATCCTTTATAATATCACATGACTTACATTTTTTTTGTATAAAACTTCATRTAGTAAATGTGTTACTACATAAGTTTAGGTAGTTTCCAAGCAATATGAAGCCCTTTTCCAGTGTTTTGAAGTTGATGTAAAATGACACTGATTAGCCCTAAAATGCAAGCAAAATAGTGGTAACAACTTCCTAAAGCCAAAATCTGGTGCATGTGCAGACAAAGTGTGGTGGGACTTGAATTGTTTTGTGTATACTCTCTTTGGGCCTTACTCACACAGCAGCCATGTTTGTGTGAGAACAAAACTTTTGGTTTAACCTGCTTAAATTTATTCTCAAGCACTTGAATTGGAACTATGTGTGGATGAAAGTAATCTTCCAGTCAACATGACTGCCATGTGAATACCCCCCCTCCCTCCAAATCCCACTGCCCCCTGCTTCCAGGTAACAAATAAAGGGTCTCTTAGTCTTGGCTCGCCATGGAGGACCATCATACTGACACTTTTATTGTTTTTTAGTTGGATCATCAAGGAAAGGAAGACTAGCTGAATCTATAAGTGTTAGTCTTAGATGTTATTTAGTAAAATTACACAAGTGAAAACAGTTTACTTTGGATTGATTGAGCACCAGTGTAATTCTACTAAATACTTATTCACCACAGATTGGGTGGATTCTGGTTGATATTTGCCTCAAATATTGGCTGATCTTCACTTTGTCTTTGGTGAATAATCTTTAATTATTAAATTTATCTACATATAATGCTTTGTCGTATGTAGATTTGTTTTCACCACTTTAAGAATAAGAACTCAAACTATCAAAGGTTGTGCAAGCTTTTTGTTACAAATGAAAAGTGACCACATCTTTTGAATTTTCTTACAATTTACTAAATGCTGGTAACTTATGCACATATAATGTCTCCTTTGGACCTGATGACTGGCTGGCTTGGATCAACTCTACATATTATGATATATATTTAATTGACGTATGATTTTGATTGTCTTTTATTGCATTTGACTAATATTTATTGATCTTGATTATTTGTCTCACATTGAATGATTTATTTTACATTTGATTGATTATTGGTTTACATGAAAAAGTTTCTTTCAAAATTTTGTGTATTCTTTTCAAATACTTTTATTTTTTTTCCTGAGGCAAGTGTTAATTAAGTATTTTGCATTTTTCCAATTTTTTTTTTCCAATCTTTATTTGCTTTTGAATCGGATTTGGCAAATTCCAAGAATCAATTTGGAAAAAGGCTTTTTCATAAACAATTTCATTGTTTGACATGTTTTCAGTCTGTACAGTATGCTCTCGCTGTACTAAAAAATGTCTGTGATTCTAAATGTCTTTTTCAAAGTACTAAAGAGAAAAAAGTAAGACATAATCTTTTTGTGGCTTTCAATATGGTTTATTAATTTTCTTAGTTCTGCTACCATGGTTAATGAGAGGATACTGTATACATCATGATGATTGTTATTCTCATTGATGCACCACAAGATACAGTAGAACTCACTATCTTGTCCTTGTCATCCTTACATACTGATTGAAAGAACAGCGTGAGAGGAAAATTGGGCAATCGAATAAATTTATGGTTGGGTACATTTACATACTCTGATTGGACGCATTGGTAATATACAATAAAATGATTAATTGGCTGTGTTTAACATTATTTCTGCTGTCATTTACTTTCAATATCTCCTTCGAGCAAATTTGATGAGATAGTGTGTTTCTACTTTCTTTAATTGCCATATATTATRATGCTTTAATAAAGATTTGCCTGCTACATTCTGCACTCCTGGTTTACCTCCTTCAACACACGGTAAGTCAAGTGCATAATTTACCAGCATTAAGTCTTGTATTTTTCCACCAATGTCCTCTTTTATCATCCAGTTGTTTTTCTGAATATCTTACATTGCTATTCAAAAGTGTGGTAGACCATGTATTTTGCTGTCACATTCATTTTAAGCTACCCAGAGGATGTTGGTTGGAAGGTACAATTTTCTAAATTACTTTTCATAGACAAGTTCTTAGTTACCTTACAAACACTAAAACATGCAGTGCAACAGATGAGTCAATTCAATTAATTCACTCAAATAAGTTTTTCATATTTTGCCCAAGAAAATTTCTTATTTTTTAAAGAATTAGTACAAATCGAACCTATTTTGTGCTACTGTAGTCAACTCATKGACCCATTGCCTGTTGCAACTGCTCGTAGTGTTTGTACACAAATTGTTTCTCTAGAAATGGTTCCATTTATTCTTAGAGTGGTGAAAATAATATAATTTTAGGACTATGAGTGGACACACCAATGTCAGATAGAAATACCGTACAAAATTCCAGTTGGATATTGACTGATGTTTTATGGCTATGCCATATCAATCCTGAGTTCTTTTTGTAATATTTTATTATCTAAATATTTTTATTTTTGGTCAGCTTTTACATAGTTCGGCTAAAACCTAAAATCATAAAGAAGACCTGAATGCCTTTTTTAAAGGGCTCACCAATTATCTCTCAGCTCCAATTTCATCTTTTTTATTTTGGTTCCATTTACTTAATCAACAATAAGGAAAGTCTCAAAACTATAAGTGATTTGATTGTACTCCATAAGATGTACTTAAAAAACCTGATCGAAAGAAAATACAAACAAAAAAAATCATTTGGTTTTGGTATTTCACAGGGTTTGGTGTGTTCATCTCATAGTCTGACAAAGGTGTTGCTTGAGTTAAAAGTACATCAAGAGATTACAAATGGTATACTAAAACTAAGTCGGTTTCTGTCTGACTCTGAAAAGAGATTTATTTGTAAAAATGATTTCAAATTCAAAGTGTTATTTTACAAATCAAATAGTATGTTGCCATGTTTTAGGCACTGGAATGATTAACTGAAATAATTGAAAACATTGCTTAGCTGTTGTTGGAATTAATTCACATTAAGGTGGCTCAATAGCATTTTCTTGACACTACCTTTGGACTTTAACAAATTGCAAATACCCAGTTGGAAACAATTTATTGAAAGAAATTCAAATTGTGCATGCTCAGTTGCAAACAATTTATTGAAAGGGAACCTTTTCAAACCAGATTTAAGTTTTATCAAAGTAAAAAGGATTGGTCTGCAAAAAATACCATTTGTAACTCTTGCTGTAATGCAGAATAGACTGTAGAATTGAGTAAACCAATGGTACAGTCCTGGGTTGCCAGGATCAGCTGACTCTGATGTCATCCTAAAAGCATACTATGCTATAGCTTGCCATACACCATGGTTGGCTGCAATCCTGAAAAGTCTATTGTTACAAGTACTGGTAAGGCTCAGTGTGGACATGGAACTTTTCATTGATCAAATATTAAGTGTTGGGGTTGAGGTATCTAAAATCGGTCATCGAAAATTGAGACTTGAGGAATTTCATAAAGCTCCATGCAATCAGTTTAAGGCAGCTTTTTTCAAATTGAAAAAAAGTTCCGTGTCTTAGCTGGGCCAAATTATTGCTATATACTAGGCATAAAACTGGTGTTCACCATCGTTAAATTTTTCATTAAAAAATATAAATTTCTCCTATGATCTCACTAAAAATATCACTTTGTATTGGGAATATATTTTGTTTTTGGTACTACAAAATTGGGTTTTGAATTCTTTTTAACAAAGTACAACACCAGTTTTATGCCTTTTTTAGCATCCAGTATTAGTCTTCTAATCAAGCAACACCTATGTCTTCAGAATTTCTAATCAAATCTCTGTCCCTGAGGTCATCAGTTCATCCTATTCCAAACCCTTAA